GGTAGAGTGCATGCCTCACATGCACAAAGTCCTAGGTCCAATCCCCCAGCACCACCACCAAAAAAAAAATGTTTTGAAGACCTAGAAGTGAAGAGTGCAAGCCTGGAAATATAAAGTAATGATATGGGAAGGGAAAGTTTCCGTAAGCTGTTTTTTCATTCAGTGCACACTGTAGCATGTGCTAAAATACCACACTCACCCCATTGATATGTACAATTACATGTCAGTAAATATTAAATTAAGATTTAAAAACTCTAAAAAAAGTATAGCATACACAGTTAGGTACAGCACACAGTATATGATAATAAACAAGTGTTATTGGCTTATGTATTTACTATACTATACTTTTATTCATATGCAAAAGTAAAACATAGAACCACCCTCTGAACAAAAATTAACTCAGAATAGATCAGTGGCCAAGATGCAAAACTTAAAAAGTATAAAATTTAATTAAAAATAAAAAATATGTATCTTATTTTTAACCTTAAGTTCAGCAAATAATTCTCATACTGGACACAAAAACTATCAAGGTCATTTTCTTAGTCCATTTGGGCTGCTGAGACAAAAAACAAAAACAAAACAAAAAAGCCCTTAAGGCCAAGCATGTGGCATACACCTGTAATCCCAGAAATTCAGGAGGCTTAGACAGAAAGATCATAAGTTCAAGGCCAGCCTCAACAACCTTATTGAAGCCCTAAGCAATTGAAGAAGACCCTGTCTCAAAATAAAGACATTAAAAGGTGAGGTGGGGAATGCTGGTGATGTAACTCAGTGGTAAAGTAGCCCTAGGTATAATCTTCAGTACCAAAAACCTAAATAAATAAAACCTTAGACCAGTGACTTACAAACAACAGAAATTTATTTCTGACAATTCTGAAGGTTGGGAAGTTGAAGATTAAGGCCCCAGATTTTATTCACTTCTTTGTGTCCTCACACAGCAGAAGGAATCAGAGAACTCCCTGGTCCCTTTGATGAGGGAATGAATCTCATTGTTAAGGTTTCATCCTCATGACCCAGTCACCTTCCAAAGCCCCCACTTCCAGATACCATCATGTTGGAGGTTAAATTTCTACACGAATTTCAGGGGGAAACAAATATTCAGACTATAGAAGACATAAAAGAATTGATCATTTGACTTCTTTAAAATTATAATCTGTAGTTATTGGAAAGACATTGTTAAGAAACTGAAAAGATTTTAAATCAGACTAGGAGAACATTCATAATATATATCTTTTCATTCATTTTTCAAGATCTTTTTAATTGGTGCATAATAATTGTACAGAATAGTGGATTTCATTGTGCCATACTCATACATACCATAACATAATTTGATCAACTTCAATTCCTGGCACTTCACTGTCCCTCCCTTTCTCTTTCAACCTGATTATCTTCCTCTACCTTACTTATCTCCCTTCTGTTTTCATGAGGTTCCTTTTTTGCACTTTCTTCTAGAGAGGGCTAGAGGGTTTTCATTTTAAGAGAAAACATATGATCTTGACTCTCTAAGTCTGGCATATTTCACTTAACATGATGCTCTCCAGTTCCATCCATTTTCCTGCAAATGACACAATTTCCATTCTTTTTTTTTTATTTTTAAAACATTTTATATAACTCATAAAACAGTGCTTGTATAAAAATTCACACAAAATTGCTAGAGAGCATACAATTTCCAAAAATGTCGTGGGTTTTTGTT